TTTGGAGTATTGTTTTGATAAAAACATCTTTTGGGCTATTTTTATATTATTACATAAGTAAAGACAAATTCCTAAAGAAAATTATGGTTTTTGTTTCGGCAGTAAATTAACAGAATCTTCGGACGCAATTGCTCCATTGCCCTTAAGTGTGATAGGCAAAATCCCTTATGGGCTCCGTGAATCACCTATGCCCCTCTGAAGTTAATGAACGATGAAAAGACAAAAATGCCCTTCGTGGGCGAAATAAAATTTGCAAAATCGAATTGGTTTATTTGTGTGGACTGGTTGAGGTTGTTTGGGTTGAGGTGGGTTTGGGATAGCTCGGTTTCGGTTTGGAAATCGAATTGGATTTCAATTGAATTGATTGGATTGGAGTGGATCAATTAATAAAATTAAATGAAAAAAAAGAAATAGAAAGAAAGCTCCCAGCTCTCGATGTCGTCCCGATTTCCTATAGATCAAGCTCCTCCCGATATCCGAATTCTTATAGAAGACGTTGGTAGATTCTCCAGGGACGCAGCCGGACAAAAACATTTCCACCGGCAAGGCTTCCTTCGGAGTAGAGTAGTAGGCCAGAATGCAGATTCTCTTCTCTTCTCCTCTCCCTCGATTGGATTTGTAATTGGATATATATATGATTCATTTGAGATTTGGTATGTGGAGAAATTGCCTCATGTGAAACAATGCAAGCATATGGTTGAATGTATGGGATTGAGAAACTGAGCTTATAGTACCATTCAATTGATTCTAGTTGAAATAGAAATAGGTAAGACTAGTATAACTGATTAAAACTAAGTAGAACAAAGAGCAACTGGTCTAACTATAACTCTATTTTGTTGTTTTTGCAGGATGCAATGTCGAAACACATGTGCTTACATTTCAAAAATTTATAGATCGCATCTATTGTATAACCATCAAGATAACAGTGGAGGCTATAACTTTGGCAATGGTAGAAGAAAGGTTGTATAAAAAGCTGAGGTTAGATGAAAGGAATGTAAAACTGGCGTTGAGGTACAAGCCGATGGTGTTTGGATGTGAAGAATCAGAAGAGTGCACAATTTGTGATGATGATGATTTGTTCGGTTACCTTCTTTCCATTGATAAAGACAACCGTAGAAGTCCCTTTTTAGTGAAAGAGACGAGTAGAGGCAGTAACTCGGATCAGTTAGATCTGTCGAGAGTGGGCGGAAGTTCGTTTGGTATGAATCACGAAGTGTTTCAGGGAAATGATGATGTAGGATTGGACCTAACGCCATAACTCTGTAAGTTGAAAAGAGGCAAGCAAATCAACAGAAGGAGGTGATACATGCAGAGAATGGTGACGATACAACACATGATGATTTTATGGATACAGACAACATTGCGGAGACGGAGACTGCATCTGGGACGGAGACTGCAGCTGGGACGAAGACTGCAGCTGAGACGGAGACTGCAGCTGAGATGGATAGCAGTGCTAATATAGAAACCAATATGTGAGTTACGTATATTGAGCAGCCACCTTTACTAAAATGTAGTCAAGTTATAGAGGAATGGGGAGACGGTTTGGGTCTGTTTAAGCTGCAGGAATTTCCAAACAAGAGATCACTTCAAGAGTTGGTGGATAGAGCTACATTTGGTGAAAGCTTTCGTTATGTTATTAAAAAATCTGATCGTAAACGGTTGGTGTTAAAATGTTGTGATGAAAGCTGTAAATGAGGATTGCGAGCTGCGAGGATTCCAGAGACGGAAATTTTTCTGTTAGGAGGTACGGGGGTGTGCATACATGCTCTCGGACTAATCAAAGTAATAGCTGCAACATCAAGAGGAAAGGCTCTGCAGAATTAGTTGCAACTTTTTTGAATGAGGAATATCCTGGAAAACTGAGGACTCCTCCTTCAAGAGATATCATGGATTTAATAAAGTTAAAACTGGGTGTTTCAGTATCTTACTCCACAGCCTTGAGAGAGAAAAATCTAGCTATGCGTGAGTTGCGTGGTAATTCAGAAGACAGCTACAATATGTTGTATAGCTACTTGTACATGTTAGAGCAAGTTAATTTCGGAACAACAACAAGGGTGGAGTTGGATGAGGCAGGTAAGTTCAAGTACCTTTTCATAGCTTTAGGAGCTTGCATTGAAGGGTTTAAGGTCATGAGGAAAGTGATTCTTGTGGATGCTATGTTTTTGAAGAACGGATATGGTGGTGTACTAGTATTTGCTAAAGCTCAAGATCCTAATCGTCACCATTATCCCCTCGCATTTGGGGTACTCGACGGTGAGAATAATTCTAGTTGGACTTGGTTTTTCGAGATGCTCAAAACTGTTATACCAGACTCTTCTGAAATAGTATTTATGAGCGATAGGAATCAGAGCCTCATCACCGGTGTAGCAAATGTGTATCCACAATCTCACCATAGCCATTGTATATGGCATCTAGCTCAGAATGTGAGAAATCATGCTTGTAACACCATCAAAGCCGTAGTGGCATGGAGATTTATGGAGTTGGCTAGGTATTACACAGTGCATGAGTTCGAGGCTGCTTATGCATCGTTTAAGGTGAGATATCCTTCAGCCTTCATGTATGTGGAGGAGAACACTAACAAAGAAACATGGGCTAGGGTCTATTTTCAAGGTTGTAGATACAACTTGGACACTAGCAACAGTGTGGAGTCGCTGTATAGCGCGTTTAGGGACGCAAGGAGGTATGCATTGATACCAATGTTAGATACAATAATCAAAAAGATTTCTGACTGGTTTAATGAACATCGGAAGGACGCCGTGTCTGGATAGATTGATACCAAACTGGTTCCTCTGGTTGAGATCCATTTGCACAACATATGGGACAAAAATGAGAAAACGCCAGTGCGTGAGCTGAATAGTTATGATCTTGAGTACGAGGTAACCGACATTGACGATGGGAAGGTTTATTCGGTGAACTTGATAGCGAAGACATGTAGCTGCAAGATATATAATTATGAAAAGTATCCTTGTCTTCATGGATTTGCTGCTTACTTATATTTCCTTGAGGTTCATGCTGCTCAAGGTCGTCGACGTGAGGTCAACATAGAGTATCATCAGTTGAGCTCACAGTATTACTGAACAGAAATTGGGTAATGGCTTGTTACATGACCATTTATTCTGTGCCAGACAAGTCTGAATGGAATGTACCAGATCACATCAAAGAGCTCCAGATCATACCTCCAAAAAAGCTAACGAGGAAGGGAAGGAAAAAGGTTAATAGGAATCCATCAGTTGGAGAACGGTGTAAAAAGACACAAAATGTAAGGCAACCGAGGACAAATTTTGGGTTTAGTTGGCTGTTGTTTGGAATGCGTACTAATAATCCAAGTGAACCAAACTAGAGCTTTTGGTATGTTGCTTTTGGTATGTTGAACTTGGAGTGTTGCTTTTGGGATTTTAGAACTTGGAGTGTTGCTTTTGCTTTTTAATCGGATTGGTATAACTAAGTATAACTAAGTATAACTTTTCTGAATATACCCGAATTTCTTCTTTATAAATCTAATAAATGAAATAAATACTGCATCTTCTTCGCATATCTCTCTCTCTCTCTCTCTCTCTCTCTCTCTCTCTCTCTCTCTCTCTCTCTCTCTCTCTCTCTCTCTCTCTCTCTCTCTCTCTCTCTCTCTTCTCTCTCTCGAGACTCTTCTACTTCTGACGAGAAAATATCGAAGATCCAAGGAGATGGTTCGGGATCGTCTATGAGAAGGCAAAATTCTGGAAGGAAATTGTGTTTCTGTCTCTTAGATGCTGAAATAAGACAAGCTTGGACAGACAAGAACCCCGGGCGACGATTTTATGGCTGTCCGCGTTATAAGGTATCCTAGCTGATGATAGAAATTGTGATCTGAGATTGATAAATAAATTATTTACAATAGAATTTGTGGCAGGAGAAAAATGGATGCAAATACTTCAAATGGTTTGATGTCGAGGATGGTACAGAATGGCAAAAATAGCTTTGATTGAAGCCCGGGATGAGATCTGAGAGCAGAGTAGAGTGATCGAACAGCTAAACGAAACCATTGCAGAACTGAAAAAAAATTCGGAGAGAATTCAGCAAGAAGAGGAAATTGTTAGAGACTTTCAAAATCTCTATGTTTAATGTTTAAGGGTTTAGGAACCTATGTATTCTCTGCGTTTACTTGTGTTTCTCTGTTTTGAAATTCTCAACTATGTATTCTCTGCATTTACTTATGATTCTCTGTTTTGAAACTCTCTCAACTATGTATTGGAAAACCACGGAAAATTAGTAAAACAAGGTGTTACTAAGTTAATAAATAGCAGATATTAACATGACATAATCCCCTCTAATCCAACACACATAATTTTTAATACACAAGCACAATCACTTGACTAATTCATCAACATCACATTCATCGACAATACTATTGCAAATAACAAATTAAATAACATGATTCATCGAGATCACATTTTCTCTTATGCATTATATAGTCTTTCCAAGATCACTTTCTTAATAAAGAGAAGCTTACAAAGTAGTAGTCTATAATTCTCGTGATTTTAACAGTATTCTTGCACTTATCAGTTATGCTTTCATGGTAATGTGAAAAAATGACAAGTAAAACTTTATTCAGAAATTTAAATTATACGTAAAGCTAAAAAAATGTTGAAATCACGAAAAATAGAACTATGAAGAAATTTGGTAACACCTGAAACTTCAGTAAAACTATGAGCAAATTTTTTTGGGGGGAAAATAATTTTTTTATCCGCGCCAAAGCGAAAATATTCCAAAATTTTCAATTATTTCGGTCAAAGTTAGATTCCCTCTGCTCTTTTCCTTTCTCGTGACTCTCCCTCTTGTCTCGTCAACTTTGCTCTGTCTACTCACTTTTGTCACTTCCCAAGCACTCTCTCTCTCTCTCTACTCTCTACTCTCTTCTCTCATTCGTCCTCCCACACACATCTCATAATCCATTATCTTTCCTCTCTATCCTCATATTCTCTCTACATCCACGATTTTAATCTTTCACTTCCCCTTTACTGACCATGACTCATCCGTACGAAGAGGAGAAGGAGATGAAGAAGCTGAAGAAACACTACGACATGATAGGCTACATTTGCGATGCTCAATATGGAATTCCTACCCGTTGCCCATGTGGTGGTGAAATCAAGACGGATGTGTCTCCAAATCCGAAGTATCGCCACGATTTTGATACCTTGCCTGGAAGTAGGTACTTCACCTACAAGAAATATGAGGTAATTTTCTTCTTTGTAGAAACTGTGTTAATCATACTGGGTGAAACTGTGTTATACTCCGAGTGAACTGTGTTTAGTCATACTGGGTGAAACTGTGTTATACTCCAGGTGAAACTGTGTTATACTCCAGGTGAAATTGTGTTTAGTCATACTGGGTGAAACTGAGGTATACTCTGGGTGAAACTGTGCAAGACGATGGGATGCACTTTCGCCAGGCATAGACTTTTGGTGTTTAGGATGAAGTGAGGCGCCTAAGGATGGAGGTCAATGATATGGCTGAAGAGATTGCTAAGCTTAAGAGGCTTATTACCTCCACCTCCCGTCCAAGAGATTGCTAAGTATTGAATTCATGGATGTGCTAAAAAACTACAAATTTCCAAATCTATTTCCAATTTTGGTTAATACAAGTCTTTGTTTGTTAAGACTTGTATAAGTGTCTCTTTTCAAAACTTATGTTATAATACAAGTCTTTGTTTGTTAAGACTTGTATAAGTGTCTCTTTTCAAAACTTATGTTATAATTCAAGCTAGTCTTGAATCTTATCTCATGTTCATTTTAAAGTTTGTACTCTGTCCAAGAATTATAATGACGATTCAACTAATGTCTCACTCTCATGGTCAACGATAACAACATAACAAAATAGTCATACCAACATAGTCATAACATAGTTAAAGTTCTAAATCCACATCACAAACTAGATAAACATCCAAAGACTTTGTTTGTCTACAAAATAAAAACATTAAACATAAAACCATAGGTTCTTCACTCGACTTCACTTAGCTTTTCTGTTTTTTGCCTTTCCCCAAAGACTTCTTGCGTTTCTGGCTTTTACCTTTCCCTTGTGGTTCTGCTTCATCTACCTCTGCTGCTTTGACTTGTGCTTCCTTGACAAACTCCTCAAGCGGGTCCAATCTTCCATTCAACTGGTCAACCTTCTTGTCAACTGTCCTCAACAGTTTCATTGTTCTTTTCACCAACTTCATAACATCTCCCAGTTGAACCGACTGCTCACCTATATGTACTCCATCCCCTGCTGCATCTTCAATCGGTTCTGGCTGTTTTGCACGCCCAGCTACATCTTCCTCGAACATGTCTTTAAAAAATATCTTTTCACCTGCATCCAAACACTTCTCCCAACTGTCCACTGCTATATTAGATACATAAAAGTCGTCTTCATCTTCCAAAATCTCATTCAACAGCCTTTCTTCTTGTGGAGTTCTGGTGGGATGATGCTGTCAATAACCTGCCACAAACATAATTAATTTTAAAGCTTATTTCATAGTTCTACCATAGTTCTACTCTAGTTCTACCATAGTTCTACCATAGTTCTACCACAGTTTCACAGGAAGACTTTAGTTCACAGGAAGACTTACAGTTGTGTTACCAGTTCCTTGTTTATCACAGCAAGTAACACCCCTGTCGATCCATTTCGTTTGAATGAGGTCTTGCACATCCTCGGACAGTCGGGAAAAGCTCCATCAACAGGCTGTCTGAACGCAACTCCAAGCTTAGGAATTGCCTCGTATGCAAGAAGCTGTTACACACAAAACATTTTGCATCAATTGACAACAATAGCGACTGGCTGATTTAATAAGATTTTGCATACCTCTAGTGGAACACAAAATCCTGGAAGCGGCCATAATGTTTTCTCTTTCACCACCCCTCCAAAATGCTCCATTGTGTGAGATCTCCTTCAGCATGTAATCATATGAAAATCTCCTCCACGGAAAGGACTTGCAGTAGTCAAGATCGTCCACTGATCTCTGGAACACCTCCAACACATTATTAACATTGTGTCCAACCTTGGTTTGCGCACAAACAACCGAAGCTAAGAAGAATAGAACCGCCATCTTCAGCCTGTCTTTGTGGGGTCCCATGTTCACCAGCTTCTTCTTAACATCCTCTAACCTTCTAGGTTCTCCTTCCTTGAAATGACGATCAACGAACCTCGTTCCATCAAACTCTTTGTAGCCGAGAGGATAGTTGTGGCAGAATAGCTCAGATATCAACGAACCTCATCGCACTCGATTGAATCCTCTGAATTCTTCTCTCTCGTTCTCACCGTTGATTTTGGGTACAGAATTGATTCAAATTAGAGGAGGAACGAAATTAGGGTTTGTTTGAACTCGAGTGTGAAGAGGAGAAATTAGAAACGAAATCGACAAGAGGAGGTTTAACTAAATTGAGTTATTGAAAACCGACAGATTTGGTTTGGTTTTCGAGGGATTGGTTCGGTTAGGGCTAGGTTTGGTTTCGAGGGATTGGTTTGGTTTCGTGGGATTGGTTAGACGGTTAGACGATTCGGTTCAATTGAATTGACCATAAATCCGGGTTGGGTCGGGGTGGATGAGTTATACCCTGATAAAACTTGTAAATACTTCAACTATTCCACAATTTTTATGTCAATTCTACTATTTTTCAAATTTTTTAAAAAAGGTTATCTTTATATTTATATCGGTGTCTATGAGAGATTGCCTTTTGACATTTAGGAGCTCAAGATGCCTCGAATCGTCGCCCGTTCTGTGTATAACTGAAAATAATAAGTCTTGAACTTTGTATTACAATAACATAATGTCATGTCAAATTTTTACTATATTAACGTTTGTGTTCTTTCCAGTGAAAACATTTTCAAACATTCTGTAATAAACCATTTTAATAAAACAAAAGTATACACTCAAAAAGGAAATCAGTCGACAGTTCAACAAAAACGTTTACGAATTTTGGGGTTTTAGTAGTTCAACAGGAATTTCAAAGAAGATGCTTCACCATGTAAGGACCTTCCAATTCATAACCCAACTTTCTGTAGTAATGTCGGGTTCCCACACCTGAAATCACACCGATTTTTTTAGAACGATGTTCTCTTCTAGCAATCCTCTCTGCTTCTTCCATCAGAAGTGTCCCATACCCCTGCACAATTAGATAAACGATTAATCATAACACAACACTTACGTATAATTGAGTAGTGCAAATTTCATCTATAGCGTACCTGATGCTGCAATTTATCAGCCTCCCGACCATGAACTGGTACAGCCGTTCCATATACATGAAGCTCACGGACAACGGAACACTTTCCCATGAGTTCAGGACAAGTTACGTTCTTACCACATTTACGCAAACGTAATAACCCAACAAGAATGTCCTGCGTCCATACAGATAAATGATTAGTGCATGAGAATGAGACCGAGAATACAGGTTCACCACTCAATCTATGTACTAGATTTGGGAATAGGGGGAAAGCCAGTAAAACAGATGCTGATACATTTAAAGATAACAAGCCCTGTGTCCTACCTAATCTTTTGAATACAAAAACATCTATATTCTTTAGATAAACATAACTTATTGTATCAAATGAGTGAGAAGAAGCGTGAGACATTAATAAACCAGTAACAGCAAGCCCCTAATTAAAAACACAGACAGATAGGGTGGTAGTAATATCTTTAATAGCACTCTTAGCACTTTTATGTCCCTTGTACCTGGCGTGTATCTTCATATGAAAGGAATGTCTCCCAACCTTCATTTGCAGTGTAATCACGACGCACAAGTTCCACTTGTTCTGGCTTAATTTTGTGATGAATGTCCTGTCCTCAGACCATATTTGTTACGAAAATTCAGTATTCAAAACAAAAAAAAAAACAACAACAAAAAAAACATTTGGCACCTGAATTCCAGCTTCACGAGTACGAACATCACGGCATTTAAGGCCCAAATCATCCATTCTTGCCAGAGCCAGCTCACGGAGATTTCCTTTTTCAACCCCCGACGTAACCAGAGGCATGGGAATATCACGCTGAACTCTATAAACACGTGTCCATGGAGGTACCATGGAGAGAATCCTTGCAACTATATCCACAAGTTGCTCAGGTGGATAGTTTCGGTACCTGCAGAAAAGTGACCACGATTAGATTAGCGCTTTTCCCCAGTCGCATTGTTCTTCTTAACATTATACCTCCCAGTTTTCCATAATTCGTAAAGGCCAGTTCCACGTATCACAAGGGTAGGATATATTTTTAACCCATCCGCTCTAAATGACGGACTCTCGAAAAACTCCTTGAAACTTTCCATGTCTCTCTCAACCCCAACATTAGGAAGATCAGGCATCATATGTGCAACCACCTATAAGCAAAACAAAACAAAGTAGTAAGGACACAATTATAGCTGGTAAATAATGAACAGAAACATAGAAAGTGAAAGCTGACAAGACAAACTTAGAAAATATTCATCAAAGACTAATCACCTTGAAACCAGCATCTTTAGCCAAGCAGAAGCAGTCGGCTACCGCAGCAACAGTATGGCCTCTGTTAGTGTCACGGGCAACATCTTCATATGTGCTCTGGACACCGATCTCCAGTCGGGTGCAACCATAAGTCAGCATTTGTCTTAGATGAGGTCCAAGACAGTAATCTGGCCTCCTGGTTAAGTTATACAACATATTAGAAATTGTATCATAGATTTAAAATTTCAATCTCCCGAAGTTAGACGTTTCATTCACTCTCTTCCATTTAAATTAATAAATGAAAAAGAAAACAGTAATCATTATGTATAAACTATGAAAGCTTCAACAGAAAAGAAAAAGTAGGTAACAGATTTAGATACGGATCATTAATCCAAACAACTCACGTTTCAATCGTCATGCCAATGCATTTGGTTGCACTATGTTCAGAGTAAGCAACTGCTTCTTCAACATTGGCAGAAGTGTGTCCTGACAAAGCATCATGAAGGTTCCGTATGAAGAAATCCCTGTACTCAGCAGGCAGCGACATAAAAGTACCTCCCATCAAAATGAACTCAACCTGTCATTCAACTAAGGAGTAAAGCATCTGGTTAAAAATGAATTATTATTAGAAAATATCAAACTCTTAACCTTATCGACACTGTGACCCAACCGCTTCAGCTGATCTATCCTGCTCCTTGCCTGAACATATGGATTATACCTAACACAATAACAAACAGCGACTGAAACATAAATTTTGCATCCTCATAACATAAACCCATAACAAAGAACAACTAGATATTCAAAATCTTCATTTAAAAATCCCAACGAGAGAAACAAGCTATTCAGCTTCACCAGGTGCGTTACAAATAAAGTCTATATTCTTGTTCATAATTTAGAAGTCTATCTCCCAGTTCATCAAAACTCTACAATGTTAGTATTGGCAATTACAGTCCAAAATAAGTAGGATCCTAAGAAAAGTTCCCAGTCCGAGCTCTCATGAGGCAATCCAGACAACATGGTCCCCATGTAATGTCAGTAACCGAATCTAAGAGCATCTCCAACTCCACTCTATATTTTACTGCAAAATAGAGTGGAGAATGGAGTGATGAAGAAACAAAAATCTCA